CCAGAGAAGTATTTGTTACTGGGAGGCATATAAATATTAATAGATAATAAATAAATAGATAATGAATAATAAATAAATCATGGCATTTATTTGATTCTCAAATTGCTCCAGCAGCAACAGCTGGGACAGGTCAAAAGCTAACCTTATAGATTTGGTTAGTTCTGCCAAAGCACCAAGGAGTGGGGTGAGCGTTAGATTGCCTCTTCTGGGTCATGAAAAAAAGGCAGCCAAAATTGGTGCACAGCTTTGCAAGTTACGGCACAAAGGCTGCCCAGCACAGCAGGCCCAGATGTTCTCCTCTCAATCCAGTCTGAACATATTTGTTGTCTAGTTAATGAAGACAGCTGTTTTTACCAAACAAAAGAGGGATATGCAAAATTGTAGTCCTGGTTTTCAAGTGCAAAAAGGCTGGTGCTGTTTACATTCTTTGTGGCAATACATATCTTAAGCTCTGCACCAAGAAGAAACCAAGGCCACAGCCATGTGTTCCTGCACGCATTTATGCTTTTTTCAGATGCCACTGCGCAAGGAAGCACGTGTGGCAGTAGAATGCCAAATTCTTCTTCCTACCTACCCAAATTTTTAACGGGAACTTGCCTGTATATTTCATCCACAGGCACTGTGCTCTTGATTCTAATTCTGTCTCCAGCCCCTTGTTTCTTTCAAGTTATTGATTTCACTGGACCGAGACCAGGCCTGATGGTATGTTCACATTAATGACAGCTCTGGTTGAGTGGCAGGGAAGAAGGTGCAGTTAATCAAGTGCTCTCAAGGATCTTGGGCAGTGTTTTCCTTCCACTAAACTGCTGACTCTTGCTGCATCAATCTATAGCAAAGGACACAGTCACCTCCTGAAGGGGAGCTCTCCTTCCCCAGCATTAAAACAGTCTTAGCCAGTTACCAGAAACGAAGGCCCGAAACAGAGCATTTCTCATTACTAGGCAGGGAATTCAACAGGGACTAGCTGCTCTGTTTTTAAAAGTCTGTTTGCATGTCAGAGGAGAGGAATCCTTTACAAATGCTAGCGCTACACAGAGTATCAAGAAGTGGGTTGCTGATCACGGGCTGACTTTCATGTCTGAATAAAAGGAACTTTTTGGACAGGGAAAGGGAAATGGCGTGCTTGGGCTAAGAAGTCGCTAGCACAAAAAGACTGATGCAGTCATAGAATGAAATCGCCTCTTAGGCCCAATTGACACTGCTTCTTTACTTGTGGCAAGCTGAATTCCTTCTCAGTGGACGTTTCTGTGTGTGCGTCTGTTTATTTTTGTTTTTCTGGGAAGTTCTGCTAGTAAGATGAATGGAGATCTGAGAGGCATTTTTCTGGATTTCATTTACAGCTTACTTAAAAGGTGTCACTAGCGCTAGAGTGAAGAATACTTTCTTTGACTGAGCCTGGACAAACAGCGTGCCTGGTGAAAGGAATCATGGGTGGAAACCTAAGAGTATGTCCACACACCATAGGCTTACATGATCTATGCATTAAACGTAAAGCAACACTGTACATGTAAAGTGACAAGTCGCACCTAGTGTACATTCTCGAATACTCCCTGATCAGGAAAGCCAAAATTGGCCTCAGTTCCACACCGGAACACTTGGAGCAAATCCTGTCCTTAAAAGAGCACGATCAGACCTTTAAAACATGGTAACAGTATTGTCAGTTGTTTCTTGGACGTGTATTTTGCCACTTGAAATACCACTTCGACAATACCTTCTGGACCCGCCAGTGCGGACAGCGCGAGCAAGGCTCGCGTCCTGATGGCGCGGATCCGGCCTTTGATTCTGTGGGCGAAGGGAGGGGGAAGGCGGGGGGAGGCGAGGCGGAACTTGGGCATTAATTCAGGGAAAAGCAAAATGTTGATCTCAAGGAGTAGGGGAGCCTCTGACAACACGCGCGCCGCGCGCGCACACACACACACACACATACACATCTGTATGCAGCATCGCCGTCAACCGCTCTCGACGCGCACACAGCCACCCTGCAATCTCAGACCCGCACCTCAACGGCTCCAAGCCGCTGCCTCCTCCTCCTCCTCCT